CGGAGCGAGAGTCGTGGCGACATCGAAGTGCTTGGCGATTGTAAAGAAGACACACTTCTACCTCTTGAATCCTCGGAGTCGGAATTCGACGATCCCCAAGTCATGACATTCTCATCTTCAACGTTGTGCCACGAGAAACTCGACTGCGCTATGACCTTTAGTGGTTTCATCTTAAACGGATTCACATTTAAAATGTTGAGTACATACCCACATTTTAATGCTCTGATAAACGTTACAAAGTAGTTGTGTTGCACTTGGAAGAACTTGTCTCTGTTTTGTAAGTAGAAAAGTGTGTATTGCCCGCCATAGACTCTTCTGACGATTTCTTCCATTGGAACATCTTGTGGAACCAATGGAAGTGGTAGACTCAATAACTCCAACTTCGTTTTTGATTTAATGAATTGGTGTGTTAAAGCTTCTGAGGGGGTCAATCGCTTAGCTGGGTCATACTCCAGTATTTTCTTTAAAAAGTCGAGTAAGAGTGCTCTCCAAAGTTGATCGTTGTCGCGGACAAAAGCGTTTCGATGCAACGGAACGTGTTGACAAATTTGCTCGAGTGTTTTATATCTGAAGTACTTCTTGTTCTCCAACAACTTGACGTTATTTTCCTTCTCGTATTGTTGAGGACTCTTCATTTCAAATACAAATGTATTTCCTTTTTGTGTCATGTTATAATACTTATCCGTCTTTGTCCCTTTCTTTAGTAGATAATCTGGTATCGGGCCCAACATGTCGACAATTTTAGCCAACTGGTTATATTCGTTCTCGCCCGGGAAGAGTGGGATACCCAAAAACAGTTCAGCTGCGACGCATCCAAAGGACCACATGTCAATTGCACATGAATAAGGCAACCCCAATATAATTTCTATGGCACGATAATGCCGACTTTGAATGTAACTATAAAGAGTTGATCGCTCAAAACAAGCACTCCCAAAGTCGATCAGTTTAATATCACTTGTGTTTGGGACTAACAAGACGTTTTCAGTCTTCACGTCGCAGTGTATGATATTCATAGTTGTTAGGCCGTGTAATGCTTCTAACAATTGACGCAATACATGCCGATTAAAAGTCAGTCCCATACCCACATTTTTGTTGCTTCGTAGCATGTCATACAAATTGACAGAGAGGAGTTCGCTCACAATGCAGACGTGTCCTTGATACAAAAAGTAGTCGATCATTTTAATAGTGTGATACTTCCCATCTTGGTCGACAATATCTCGAAGTGATGATAACACGGCTATCTCGAGCATCCCTTGTCGAAAAAAAATCGGCTTTGACTTCAAGATTTTGACCGCGACCAAACTGTTGTCTGAGCAATTCCTGCACTTCAACACTTGTCCAAACGTCCCACTCCCTAACGCCGATATCACAACGTATCTCGATTGTGGTAAAAACGAACACGAGTCACCTCTATTTGTCATTTGATTGTTTTTCTTACCAAATCATCGACTAACAAACTCTTTTGAAAAAGCTGATCCGATGTTATCATCGATCGCTATGATCAGTTCATAATTTGCATTGTCTTTGTTGTTGTTATGATACGGTTCCGTAAGTTTTGTCAAGTACCTGTGCGTGTTCAAAGTAGGGTTTTGAATGTTTTCAAATTTGAACGTCCTTGTGATGTCTAGAGTAAGCGCATAGATCGGGCGGAACCGCGACGCTGTTCGGGGCGTTGTGATAAATGGGTTAAAAGGGACGTCGGTTGGATTCATCTTGAAATGAAATGAAAGGTTGCTCAAGTCACAAAAAGACCTTTACAAATTCCCTTTTCTTTCATTTGATTCCATACTCTCAATCTCTTTTTCTGGTATTTTCGGGAGCTTGTTGTTTTTTTTACTAGTAAGTCGTAATTATTTTATTAGAATATATATTATTTTTAATTTAATACTCTTTGTCATTTTTAAAAATGTTGGTTAATGATTTAAATTTTTTATAATAAGATAATACAATTAGAAAAATTAAAAAGAAATTCATAATTAAATAACTAATTGATTTATAGTATTTCCATCTGTATTGAAATGTTTTGTTATTTTAACAATTCATGTTTTTTTATTTGTGATCGAAAAAATTAAGTTCATTTTAATAAAATTATAATTTTTAATACTTTTTTAATAATAAAACTTTTCTTATTTTTCAAAAATTATTCAATCACGTAAATTTTATTTTAATACCAATTTTTAAAATTTTTATGTTGAAGATTTTACCAAAATTGATTAAAACTTTATTTTTGCACCAAATATCTGTAATTTCAAGAAACCCTAAAACAAAAAAATTCAAAATATTGATAACAATAGTATATTTTAATTAAAATTAATTAGATAACAAAATTCAATTCAAAGCAAAAAATACTATTAAACATACTAAAAAGAACTATATTATTTTATCATAAAAAATTCATTCAACTCGAATTTCAATGCCGTTCAATTTTCTCACATGCATCTCAGTTTTCTCGAGTTTAGTGATCATCTTTTTTACTCTGACACTTTTCTCATCGAGCACTTCACAATTGCGGTTTACCGTTGAACCGTACGATAATCACGTCAAATACAAATACGTAGCGCCGATAAAAAACAAAGCGTGTCCGAATGGGATTGATGTTGTTTGGTTGTGGGTGAATGGTTCAGACCCCAATTTTTTAGACTTGTTAGCCAAAAGTGGGAAAAAGAGTGGAGCGGGGAGGTATCGTGATTACAACACATTACAGTACTCCCTTCGCTCTGTATATGCATATGCCCCATATATCAAGAATTATTACATAGTCACGCTCAATCAAATTCCAGACTTTTTAAATACGTCGAGTTTCCAGTTTAATGAGTACACTTTACGTATCGTCGATCACAAAGAGATATTTCCAAACCCTAAAGACCTTCCTGTGTTCAATTCCAATTCTCTGGAAGTGTCTTTACACAACATTAAAAACTTGTCGTCGTGTTTTCTGTATTTGAACGACGACATGTTGTTAGGAAAGAAGTTGGACATCTCGCACTTTTGCAGGAAAGATGGGAAATTGAATGTCTACCATAACACGTGGAATGCTCCCGAGGCAGATGGGATGAAGCGGAATTTGTGGCATCGCAGTGTAGGAAACAGCAACAAATTAATCAACGACAAGTTCCATCCCCAGAACAAGACGATCAAGCACCCATACTCCAGTCACCACTGTTATTTCTTTAAGACTCAAATCCTTCAAGAGATGGAAAAGAGTTATCAAACTCAATATAACTTAACAAGAAAACACAAATTCAGAGATGGAACGGACTGTGCTGTCCCTTTCATGCATGCGGCATATTCAGTCGAGTCGAATAGGGGCGTTTATGTCAAAGAACGGAACTATTACTACGGCCTTGTAGATAACAACAAAACTAACAACTTGAAAATAGTCAATGGAGTCAAAAAGAAGAAACCACAGTGCATCTGTTTGAACGACGGGCTTGACGATAAAAATGTGACTGCGATGGATAACGCAATCGAAAGAATGACGGACTGGCTCAAAGCGATATACCCAAATCCATCCCCCTTTGAAAAATATCATTGATTGCTGTTTCAATACAATATCTTACTGAATTATACTTTCACGTGACAATAAAATTGCCTAAAATTGTAGGAACGAACAAAAAAGTCAATCAAAAAGTGATTTCCTTTTACTCCTTGTGTTCTTCTTTCACTTCAGTCTTTGTGGGTTCACCTTTCTCTTCTTCTTTCTTGTCTTCAGTTTGTTTGGCGGAAGTTTCTTTCTCTTTCAGTTGTTCCCATTCTTTTTTGGCCTTTTCAGTATAGGCCTCTTGTCTCTTCTTTTGTTCTTCTTCGACTTGTGAAAGGCTCCCAAGGGCACTGAACATTCTAGCATATCTTTGTTTGTCCTTTTTGTCGGCTTCGACTTGTTTTTTCTTGATCTGTGACATCTCAAGTTTGACTTCTTTGTTGTTGGGGTCGATCTCTAAGACTTTGTTGAAATCAACTTGCGCCTTTTCGACTTGCAATTTCTCCAAATACGCCTTCCCACGTCGTAACAACGCCTTCAAATTCTTTTCATCGGACGCTGTGACTTTGTCACAATACTCGATCACACTGTCGTATTGTTTGAGATGCAAATACATCGCCGAGACATTTGAATATAAAATCAATTGGATCTTTTTGCTTGCCTCTTTTTGATCGTCGGGGATCCTATAATCGTTGTCCAAGTATTCCAACCCTCTTAAATAACACCGAAGTGCTCTCTTCTGCATTTTTCGTTTGACTAACTCATTGCCTTGGATCTTTTTCTGTTCGGCATGTTTGACGATGTTTTCTGGCGCTATGGTATATGGACTGGGGACCGACTCCATTGACTTTAAAGTGACTTTAAAACTGACTTCTGCCTTTGGTGGAATATTTCTTGTTTTGTCGCCCTCGTCACCAAACGCGTCTTCTGCTTTTAATGTGAACGAACAGACTTCATTTAATTTCATCGACTCAACCCCTTTCTCAAACCCGTCACAGATGACGGGGAGGTCGCCAATAACAAATTTGAAGTCGTTTTTACTTTCAATGACTTTGTCGCCAAGTGACAACGTGTAGTCGACAACACAAACACAATCGTCCAAGGGTTTCTCATACCCAGTCCCTTCTTTTTCAACAGTTTTTGGAAATTGTGGGACTGAAGGTTCTTGTACTATTGGTTCATCTTGTGCGTCGTCGTGGTCATGACAACACGAGCCACAACAAGCGTCATTGTGTTCTTGACATTCACCACATCCGCACTTCTCCGTTTCCATTCTGATATTCAAAGAGTTCCATTTAACCCTCTTATAAGTGAACACAATATGACGTGGATTGTCCATCAGACGCTCATCTGTTGCCACGTGGGATCGGTGAATTTTTGATTTTTACAATTCTGAGTGTTTTGCCCTCTTCACTCATATTTCTTTATTATTGTATTTATTAAAATATTTTTTATTAGTATTATTAGAAGTTTGGTATTATTTGTATTAATCCGCCTTGAGGCCTCTTTTGAAATTAACTAAACAACACGTTGATCGTTGGTGCTTCTTCTGGGATATTATACATATTTAGTTTTTTTATAGTTCATGTACCTTCTTTATGGTATTAATAGTTTTATAGTTATTTTATAGTTTATTGAATTGATATGATTATTTTATTGGCAATTTCATAACAATTGTTCTTTAAAAAACTATATCTTATAATAAACTATAAGAAAATATGATAAAAAATAATTAATATTTATAAGTATACTATATAATTTAATTGTTTTATAAATAATAAACAATTAAAATAAAGAATATAATTTAGTAAAATTATATTAAAAATACAGACAAACGGACAATTAGGGTTCGATGGGAAAGAAGAAACTCAATTAGTGTATTTGCAACACACATGAATGACCCATTTCTCGTTCCTTTTAAAGAGCGTATACAAAAAGAATTGCCGAAGAAATCCGAAAAAAAAGTAGGGCGCATTCGTACAAGTAAGTTTACTGGCAAAGAAAGAGGGGATCTTGACGACGAGCGTCTTAAACAAGCCAAAGAACACATTAAAGACACCGAAAAAAATGTTAAACAGCGAGAGGATGTCGAGGACGAGGAGACTAAAACGAAGAATGTGTTTGAGCAAATTTTCCAAGAATCCGTTTGTTAGTGTAATGAAGTGTGTTGGATGCATGCAGTGACTCACATGTAGTTGGATAAAACAAAACAACGTGAAGACTTGGCTTCGACGTTGACTCTTTCTGATATTTTCTCGATTAACAAAACACGAACGATGACACAACCGTATACATCTGCTATTATCAGTCCGACCGACCAAACAAAAGTTTACTTCTCGTCACAAGATGGGAAGATTATGACATACGATATCACAACTAATAGATTCAGTGGGGAATTTATCATCCCAGAGACTAAAAAATCTTCGAGACGTCCTCCCATCAATAATTTGACAATCGACCAAGAAGGAACTGTGTTGGTTGCTGCCGCTTCAAATAAACATGTCTACTGCTTTGATCCCAAAACAAATGAGTTGTCCGGTGATTTAAGAGGACATCAAGACGAAGTTATGACGTGTTGCTTTAGAGAAGGGACACTTGATCTCTTCACTTCTGGGAACGACAGGTCAATCAAAATGTGGAACATTGCGACGATGGGGTTGATGGACACGTTCTATGGTCATTTGAACTCAGTGACTACTGTTGATGCACTTTCGAGTGAACGGTGCTTGACGGCGTCGACCGACAAGACTCTTAGAATCTTCAAAGTAGTTGGAGAGACGCAATTAGTCTATAATTCCCATGAAATCATGGATTGTGCTGCCTTTTTGGACGAAGCGAAGTTCATTGCTGGGTCGAATGTCGGAGATCTGTCACTCTTTGGTGTGACACGTAAGACGCACATTGAGAAATTAGATAAAGCACACAAGAATGGGGTGTCCACTATTAAGTGCATTCGTTACAGTGACGCCTTCTTTACTGGTGGAGTTGATGGAGTAGTTAAGTTCTGGAGTTATAAAGACAGAATTGCGTATTTAGATGGCGAAAGGCACTTTAACTTGAGTGGCAGTGTCCAATTGCCGGGATGTGTCAATGGTATTGATGTGATGAGAGATAATTCTGCGATAGTCTGTGCTGTTGGGAGGAGATTCCGGCTTGGTGATTGGCATGCGGACCCGAGTCGTAAGAACGGTATTGCTATTATCAAACTGAAGTGATTGATTGAATAATTTAGTCTAACTTTTTTTGGTCACTTTGTCACACTCAAATGTTTTTGTTTGGAAGCGAATTATTTTTTTTCTCAGTAAGTTGAACTGGAAATCGACACTCAAACTGAAAAATGTAAAGGGATGAGCAGACAAGGTACTATGACTATCGAACAACGATTTGAACAACTGATGAAGACAACAAGAAGTAAAGAGAAACTTTTGGAATATAGGAAACTCTTAACTATTCTCTTGAATTATGGAACGGGTGCGGCTCCGTCGATTATTAAGTGCTTGACAGCAGAAATCACAAACGAGAAGTCCCCACTGTTACTGAAATATATTGCAAGTGAAGCGTTGTATTCCCTCCCGGAAATGAACATTACTATGAGCGAAAACGCGTGCGATATATTTTATATCATTTATTGCTTGAGAAAAGGCCTTCCTGTGACTTCTATGATCACTATCATGAACATCATAGGGCTCATGGTTACCGAAAACAAACTGATCTCACACTTGCTGGTCCCCATTTTGTTTGCTGTTTGCGGGAGAGAGAAGATATCGGAAGCAGAAGCCGCACAAGTCGATACGACTATCATTAGATATCTCCAAATGAATGTTGTTGGTGGAACACTGGAGTTTAACCCTAGTAAGTTGCCTCTACAAATCCAAGAACAAGACGGAAGAACGAGTAACATCCCTGTATTCACTATTATGAACGTTTCTAGTCGGAATGTGTACTCCGTAACTATGTCACAACACCATCAAGTGGTGTCTAATTTGATACTTTACGTATCAAAAGTTAATGTGTTTGTTATTCATTTCGAATAGTTTTTAATAACGAAAGAGTAACGTGGTAGATCAGTGACATTGTGTGAGACTATTATAGGATATGTCAATCAAGTGTTACAACAACTCCAACGAATCCAAACATTCACTCAAATGCATACCGTGATCTACCACGAAATGATTCGCCTCTTGGGAACTATTGCCGCACGACACCCAACACTCGCACAAAACGTTTCGACAGTGTTCCAATCGATTCGAACACACGCGGAAAGAGTTGACCCGTTTGTAGCGCTCTCGTTGTTGGATTCCACATTGATCATATCTTCGGAATTTTCACAGAGCAACGCTCAAAAGGTGAATGCATTTATCGCAGAGTATTTGGTGAAGAATAACGGATTTACAGACGTGTTGCTTGTGAGTGAGACACTTCGTGTGCTTAAGCGCCACTCTGTTGCGTTATCTACAGAGCCCATTTTCTTCCCATTCAGTGCAATTGCGTTACACTCCACAGCGATTCAAAGAGAAGTCTTACCACTTCTCTATTTGTTCATTGCAAATAGCAACGCACCCGCCGTGTTACACTACATCTTGGATCTTCCTATCTTGGCACTCTTACAAACACTGTGTTACCCGGGAAGTGCCGATAACGAGAAGAGGACCGAGATGTATGCGTACTCATACAGCTATATGTACAAAGGTGCATATGACACAAACCATTTGTGGCGTGCAGAAAATTTGAATAAAGTGGAAGAGTTACTTTGCAGACCCGAGAAAAACAGCGGGCGAGTCAAAGCGGCGATGAAGTGTGTTCCTTCGTTGTTGCGAGTGTTCTTCCAAGCGGTTAGTGTTCGATACAAAAGCGAGAGTGACGCGCTGAATATCGTTAAAGCAATCATCGCGCGATACAACTATTTGTTCCCCGACAACAACTTCATTAAATTAGTCCACGAAGCTTTCATATCTGCGTTGAGTGTTTTAATTAAAGCCGCGCCATGTATTTTGAGTGTGTTAGTTGCAGCACTTGATGGGTTACTCAAGAATTCAGACTTTGTCGAAAACACGCAACAAACTGAATTTGCAAATCATTTGTGTTTGTTGGTTGGAGAGAACGCCCACTTCATTAAACCCGCTGAAATTGAATTTTTGCTTGCAGAAGTCGATCCTCAAACATTCGAAGATTCAAATTACCCGGAATATCTTCAAGTCTCACTCCTCTCATTGTACTGCAAATTGGGACAAGCGATTGGACAGAATTCAAAGTTTGTAATGTTCTACTTATTAGTGTGAAAAGAATGTTAAAGTGACAAATAGAGTCAAACTCACGTTGTGCAAATTGGTTGGAAAAGTCTCGATGTACCCAATGCTTGCCATGAGAGCAACTGAATTGTACGCACTCTTTGCTACTCCGGGACTCGCCGAAGCCACTTTCAGAGGATTGCAATTCGATTACATTGATGTCGACGCACCATTGCCCGCATTGGTCTCTTCTCTCGATGCGTGTGATGCCCATCCTCTTCACCCATTCACACTCTTTGTGAATGAATCAAATTAACACGTTTTTTATTTATAGGTTATGCTATATATTATACTATAAATATACAATTTTTTATAGTAAATAGATGCTTTAAAAATAGAAACAATAAAGTCGATATAAAGAACAGTTGTATTTACTTAGTCGTACTCAGTTCGAGTTTAACGTTAAATGTAGCATATCCCTAAACGTCATTGTTTTCATTTGGAGCCATTTATAGTATTTCAGTCATATAAAATAATATATTATAAAGTATAAAGAAACAAACAGCACCAGTTAAAGAAGAAACTTCTGTTTCCATTTCTGAGAGTACCGCATATGATACTGCGCCATATCCATATTTTGATTGTTGGTGTTGTAATACAGTTCCTTCAATTGGTTCAAGAATGTCATCTACAATAACATCAAACATTTTGTATTGTTTTTCATCATTTTCTTTGTAATACATCCATGACAATTTATCAGACGCTATCATTGGATACCCCTCATTTACTGTTCCTACAATCATCACGTTTTGGCTACACAATTCATTGTATAAAGTTGTGTTTGTTCCACTCTTACATCGTAAGTGTGTGCATTCATCTTTGTCGAGATTTGAACGTTTACAAGCCAACCAAGACCTCATGGAGTATTTCGATATTGATGGTGTCGATTCTTTCATTAAAAGAGAATTCAGATTTTCCCAAGTCTCATTTCCCCATGGACTTCGAAGGAAGAACCCTCCTTTTGTAAAAAAGTTCTGTTCACCTCCTTCTTCTCTTTCTTCTGTGCCCGAAGTTGATGCTACAAGTGGTGATACATCAAGTCGGGTTATGAAATTGTTATCGAACCCAACCACTTCATAAAAGGCGGGGTCAAAGTACACTGAATTGGGTTGATCTGGGAATGGAGTGATTTGTCTCAAAGGGCCTGGTTGGAAGATGCCATCATTAGAAATTTGGTTGATATAGAGTTTGTCTCTCTTTGCCAAGAAGTATCCTTGTTTCATAATGCCGACTCGTGTGTTCAACAATTCTTTCTTGAAATTTGGGAAGAATGAGTGTTGTTTGACATTCGAGAAGTAAAAGAGGAGTTCCGTTTTATCATCAAGTTGTGTAGTAAATGGAGTTGTTTTAATTGATTCAATAAAATCTTCGAACGTGTCATTCTTTGAAAGCAAAGCGCTTAAAATACGGTCATACGCTTCTTCATTTAACACTTCAGAATTCTGTGATGTTTGTTCGACCACGGAGTCTATAATAGTCATAGCCATGACTTCCTTCCAATTATGGTTTGAAGGACGATAACTATTAGACTGTTGTACTGTGAATGTTTCCGTTGAAGTGATGTTATTTTTGACTTGAGTTTCAATAGTGTTTAGAGGGGTGACAAAGTACACCATTGAATGCAACGTAATGAGAAATGTGATTAAATTGATTAATATCAAATACGTCCATGTCGACATAACCAAGACGCCTTTTTTGGGTTGTGTTTCTTCTTCTGTGAATTCGGTGTCATCAGTTATTTGTGTTGTTAATAATTCCTCTGTAGTGTTCATATGAAGTCTTTGCTTATTAAATAATTTTCAGTGCTTGTGAGTTTCTCGAGTTCTCATTTACAATGCATTTTAGTATAATAAAACTATAAAATAAACTATAAACAATACAAATCATATTACATGGTCTTTGTGCGTCTTAAAGATAACATTAGTGAATGCGGTGTGTACTGTCGAAGGTAAAAAGTCTTTTGCAAACGAGAAACGACAGTTTTCAGCTTTTAAATAAGTCAAAGATGGGGGTAAAGTGATGCCCATTAGACGACATTTTTTTAATTGGAGTGTTTCGATCTCTGAATGTGCAAAGTCACACAACGCCGTGACTTTCTGCAAACATACAGTTTTAACAACTTTAAATGCTCTTAAATTTAAGACTGGACATTCGGATTGTGATTCGTTGATAGTGACTGACGGGATCTCCGGCAAATCACAATTGAGGTCACACCTTTTAAACACGACTTTTGTCGTTTCTTTGGATACAACACTTTCAAGCGCAATTTGCGAGCAAGTGAAAATGAAAGTTCTCACCATGAACAATTTTATCAGTTTTATAATTTCATTATTGAAGTCCGATCCAACTAAATTAAGTGCGTCGAGTGTAAGAGCACTTTGTTTCTTTGACATCTTTTTGATATCTTCCAATTTTAGTTGCCTCACGCAGCTTGGGACTTGGAATCTAACATTCTGAAAATGTGAAAGTGCAATTGCGTATGGCTCTATTTTTATTTCTTTTAATTTAGGGCAATGACTGATAGATAATTGTTCATGAAATTTGCCGCCGATTTGTGCAAGATTTGGGCACCTCGAGATGTCACAAAATGAGACACACTCTGGTATCACTATATCAGATAACATAACACAATTTGATAATGATAAAAATGTCAAGAAGTGCATACCAACAAAATTGTAGTCTTTTAACATTGAATTTCCAAGTAGTGTTAGATTGACTAATGTGGTTGGGAGGTTCACTGAAGCAAAGTTCACTGCATTCAATTCAATTAACTCGAGTTTGTGAATTTCGAAAATAGCAATTGGACTGAAGTCGTTACATTGGATGTCAGTGACAGTTGATGGGAGAGACAAGTCGACTTTTTTGTTTGTCTTCTCTGGTGTTTGCAAACAAATTGATTTGAGTGTCACAGACTTCGAAAAGTCCAAAGAAACGTTTTTAGTGATACCATGAAAATCAATTGTTATACGTGATGGGAGTGCTCTACAGACAATTGCGCTAATTATATAGTCTTCACAATATTGTATCGAGTAATTTTCGATATCACAAGGTATAAATCTATTTAAGTCTATAAGTGAACCATTGACACTCCCAAATGAATGGAACAAAACTTTGACGTTTTCTCGTTTTAAGATATCATTCAAATTTTGAGTTCGCAACGTTTGGACTTCGAGAACCACGTCACAAAATGATGGAAGTTTCTCGATCAGTTTATAAGCATGTGACAGATCGATTGCATTAATTCTGACTAACACTTTATGTCCTTCAAATGGAATTTCAAACTTCAAACCCTTTCCTGGGTTACTGTCTAAAGTGATCTGAATTCTTCTCAGATGAGGCGTTTGAGACAAACACAACGACGTTTTGAAGTTAATGAAAAGTTCTGTAAGCACTTTTTGAATGTTCAATTTGATTATCCCTTTCTGTGTAAAGAGTCGTATGAATTTCCCTTTGATGTCACATTTTGTTGCTTCCTCTTGGTCTAAATAAACTTCTTTTGCGCCACTGAAAATAGTTGAAGCGACCATAAAATGGTCTGGATTAAACAAAGGCATTCTCTTCATAGTTGTGATTACTCTTTGCCACTTTTTGTTAATGAAAAGAATTTGTATGACCATATCTATATTTTGGATGTAAACGATTATTTGTGGGAGAAAAATTGCCTCTAATTTAGCCATTACCACTGTTTATTCAGTTCTTTGTAGAAAACAGTACTTATTGAGTAATTATGTGGCAAACCCAAACTATTGAAAATGAATTTTTGAATCACTTGCATTTGCACTCGTCACACTTCTGGCAAGTCCTTGGCTTGATCTGCTTGAAAAAGTCGTTTCCTTTGTCATCGACTAGAATAAACGCCCTTAAATTCTCAACTTTGATTTTCCAAACGGCTTCCATACCGAGGTCTTCAAAGTCGATACACTCAACACTCTTTATGTTCTTCTCCGCAAGCAAAGCAGCGGCACCCCCAATAGCTCCCAAATAAAATCCGCCGTATTTCTGACACGCATCCGTCACTACTTGACTTCGATTCCCTTTCGCAATCATCACAAGACTTCCTCCATTCTTCTGCAGTCTTTCCACATATGGATCCATTCGCGCTGATGTAGTTGGCCCAAACGAACCACTTGGATATCCTTTGGGTTGTTTCGCAGGACCGGCGTAATACACTGGATGTTCTTTTAAGTACTCAGGAACCTTTCCCGTCTTTTCGAGAGCTTCCGCAAATCTGGCGTGTGCAATATCGCGAGCAACGATAATTGTACCATTCAACTCAACGGCAGTAGATACAGCAAATTGAGTCAATTGGGCACAAATCTCTTTCATTGGAACGTCCAAGTTGATCTTTGGCAACTCGACTTTATCTTCTTCGCCGCCAACAATGTACTTCTCAACGTCTCTTTCAAGTGCTTCCACAAACACTCCGTCTTTAGTTATCTTCGCTTTGACATTTCTGTCTGCGCTACACGACACACCCAACCCGATCGGACACGACGCACCATGTCGGGGAAGTCGAATAACACGGGCATCAAGTGCAAAATACTTTCCACCATATTGAGCTCCAATACCTATCTCATGCGCCTTCTGTAGAATTTCTTCTTCAAGCTGCAAATCTCTGAAAGCACGGCCGCCCTTGTTTCCAGTTGTTGGAAGGTCGTCGTAATACCCTGTAGACGCCAATTTGACTGTTTCTAAATTTTTCTCGGCAGAAGTCCCTCCGATCACAAAGGCAAGATGGTATGGCGGGCACGCCGCTGTTCCTAGAGTTGCCATCTTATTGACCAAGAACGGTAAAAGTGTCGACTTGTTTAAAACTGCACGAGTCTCTTGGTAGAGGTAAGACTTGTTTGCACTTCCTCCGCCTTTCACACAGAAGAGGAATTTGTACTCACTGCCTTTCGTCGATGCAATGTCTATTTGAGCCGGAAGATTGCATTTTGTGTTCACTTCATCGTACATTGTCAGTGGAGCATTCTGACTATACCTTAAATTGTTTTTGGTGTATGTGTCATAGACACCTTTACTGATAGAAGCCTCATCATCACCATTGACAATCACATCTTCACCTTTATAACCATGACAAATAACTGTCCCGGTGTCTTGACATAATGGCAAAATACCTTGTGACGCTATTAGAGCATTTTCTAATAGAGAAGAAATCACCGTTTTGTCGTTCTGTGAAGCTTCGGGGTCTTTTAAAGCAGCGGACATCTTGGTTAAATGCGACTTGCGAAGGAAGAAGTTTGTGTCGTGAACTGCGGCTTCTGTAAGAGTACGAAGAGCTTCACTATCAACAACTAATATCTCTCTCCCTTCAAAGTGCTCAACTTTGACACCTTCTTTGGTCAGCAAACGATATTCAGTTGTGTCGGCTTGATGTGAAAACATTGGTACATACTCAAAAGGCACGGACATGTTTGTGTATTTACAACTGAATTAAAGAGTTGTTCCTATTAATTGTGTTAATTGTTTCCAATCCATTTCTGTTGTTTCTTTTCGATAACTTTCTGCACTTATTCGGAAATGTGACCAACTTTAAAAAAGTCGAACAGTTCGAGTCTTCCTCAACTTTCTTTTTAAAGTGGTGAGTGATAGTTTTGTTAATAAGAATTAGTTATCGTATTCACCATTTGATTTCTTTTTCGATGTTTTAATAAAAGAGACTTTCGACTACACGAAATTATATTAACCAAATAACTATATATTTTTATAAATCTATTTATATATTTCGTTTAATTTATTGATAAAAATAAACTATAATGTATAATAAACTTTTTTTTTTATATTTGTTAGCTTTTGAATTATAAAATGAAACTACAATTCACTCTGTTAGATTCTATTAAAATAAAGAATAAAATTATTAAACTATAATTTATTAATAAACAAATATTAAAACTTTAATTAATTCTAAACTTTAACACTTTAGAATGAAGTATTAAATCCAAACAAAATTATTAGATCAAAAACCTCAAACTTGAGAACTTAAAAATACAATGAATTACAGATTAGATCATTTTCAATATAAAAATGGGTTTAAAGTGAATACCTCTCCTTTACAACTTTTCTTCTCTTCAGGGAAAAGGACACACTCTTTCCCTCCTTTGACTTCTTTTACATTTTTACACCTTTCTAGTTTGAGGCATTTGTTGTCATACGTTTCTATTCGGGAGTTTTTGACGTTCTTCAGAAGAACATCTTTGGCAAACATCTCAATTTTTAAGAAAATACCTTCACAATTTTCTACAATGACATTACAAGCATTAAGTATCACGGCTTGCCGATATTTATTCTTTACGTCAATGTTTTGGACCACATTAGCTATCCGCAATTTTTTTACGTTTTCTGATAACAGTGCCGAATCAATTTTTTCAAAATTCACTTGCTCTAAGTCAACATTTTCAATTCTCATGTTGTTCCTCCACGCAATCGAAGAGCCAACAACTTCAACGTCATTTATTGCTAATTTTGTGGCTTTTTTACCCAAACCAAGACACACACTGGAGTAATTCACAGAGATTTTCTCGGGTGTTGAATCAACTAAAAGAAACACGCAGTTGCTGTGTACTATTTTAAGTCTTTTCACTTCCAGAATATTCGCAATATCATTTGATGCCGTCGTTTCTGTTTTGTCGAGTTCCGAGTGTAACTTTTTGTGGGTGTTAATATCGTCTTCCACTATGTGCGTTGTATAAAACCTGCAATTTGAAATTGTCAGACTCCCAAACGCCACATTTTCAATTGGAAACTTTCTATTGACGAACTTGTCCAACGTAAAATTGACCACAAAATTGATGACTAAATGTATTTCGCGATATCCAATGTTAGTCAAAGCCACACTACTTTGGTCGATGATCTCCGATTTTAAGTTGTCGTCACATTGTTGTGAATAGTCGACAAGTTTCGGTCTTTCGAAGCTTGAGACAAACACCCTTTTAGGTGCAAATAGGTAGGAATCTTGTTCTTCCACAAGAGTGTTATCTTCATATATTTCAATACTACTAAAATCGGCATCGACACAGATTTCAGTGTTCCTCTCCAACCGAAGTTTTTTCAGTTTACATGGTTCCAATTGGAATCTGCATGACTCACAATACCAAATTAACAATTCCTCACACACAGTCGTCTCCACTGAAAAGTTGCTATTTTTTAAGTTGAAAAATTCAAGTATTTTAGCACTTCGGAATTTAGCATAGGTGTCAAGTTTCATATCATACAGACTTATTCGTTCAGACTCAATTTCATCAATCAATTTGCCATATTTGTCTTTCATTTTGGAGTCTTGAATCACCAAAGATTCACACTTGGGGACATTCTTCAAATTGATATTCGCACACTTTACAAAACGGAGTGTGTTGAGGTGTTTGATATATCCCAAATGTATACCATAACACTCAATAAATATCAGTGACAAATAACATTCATCGTCATCGCAATGTGGGAATATTTGTACTTGTGTCACATTCGATATGAGCATCTCATTCGTTCGTGTTACTTCAAACTCCAACGAGATGTTCGTGCAATTCTCGACTTTCAATGCTGCAATGCATTCCTCTGTAATATCAAATTTTGAATTGGTGACCATATTCAAACTCAATTTCCTCAACGAATCTATTTTGGGAAGACTCAGTCCAGTGACAGACCAAATTGTTAACTCTTCCAAATGACAAAACAAGAACTCATTTTTTATATAAGAACTCCTCCAAGACAAATTCGTGTTCTTTAACGCTAAGTACTTCACGTGTTCATATTTGTTTATTATCACAACTTTAACGTTTTCAAATACAACATCTTCAATATCACAAACTGTTGGAAAAAGTACTTCCGAAGTGTTCACCCCGCCAATCTGCTCACTCCATATAACTATCCGTTTTAAATGCAACCCACTTGAATTAAAACTCCTCAAGTCGTACGGCTTTTCGTTAATCGCTGTATTGGTGTTTTCATACCCAATAGGAGGTTGGTTTCCAACACAAAATTTTGCGACTTCAGTTGCAGAAGATTCAAGGACGTTGCAGAACTTCCCAAGTAATATCTCGGTGTTGGGCAACAGCCTTATCTCGACGCCGGTGTGCACATCCATTGGCTTCAAAATGCCAACCAAACTATTTTCAATAGCAGTGTTTGTGTATATTATAGGCGAGCATACAAGTAACTTCTTAATTGAGTCGATCAGTGACATGCCGGAGCCGTCAAAGAGAATTTTGCATTTATACACTTCCATTGCGTAATGATAAAGTTCCTTTGTTATTCTATAGTTATTCGGTGACGAAGCCGGCAATTTCAAAGCCACACAAATTGTTTTTGGGAAATAGGCGGGGCTTACTCTCAAGTCTGTGAACGACGAGACAAATTTCCAGAAAAATTCCGTTGAACAGGTGAGGGTCGCCTTTTCGATTTTATACGTTTTGAATATACTTGCTAGCTCCGAAGAGATGTTTAGTGACGCTGGAATATTGAAGTTCCGGAGCTTTGGAAATGCCCAGAGAATTTCACTCAAAGGCCGTCCGTCTTTTGTGGAAGTTGGGAAAACGTAATTTCGTATTTCCTTTATTTGCTTAGAAAGAAGCGTAGAGTCAATGACGATATTGTTGCAGTTGATTATTGTCAAGTTTTTGGGGAAAAGTGTTAAAAACTTATTAATGTCATATGCTGTTGTAAATGCTGGATTTTTTGTGAGGTTAATAACACTCCTCAGACAGTTTTTTGAAACGAGTAAATATTGAAAGAGGACGTATATTGTTTTTGTTTGCAGTGAGATGTGCATAAGACATTCTGCGTCGAGGCGCATGAAAATTGGGGTTTTTGAGTTTTTGCTTTTAAGAACGAGAAAAGTTTTAATAATTCGATGTAGTCTTGTCAGTAAATATCGGGATATAATCCTATTCTTTAATAAAGTTTTTTTTTTGTAAATTCAAAAAAATATTAACAATAGTTGAGATAAAATAAGTTATATAATTAATGTTTTTTTAATATATTATTATAATAGAAAATTTTATAATTTAAAATAATTAATAAACAAAGTTGGGAGTAAAAAAAATGACAAAAAAACCTAATATTTAGAGTTGTTTTTATAATAAAAAACTATATTAAAAATAATATAGTTTAAATTAAATTGTCGTATATATATACTATATATTTATAATATATATATTAATAATATTACTATTGTTTGCCATTAAATTATCTCTTCAAGATAATTAAAAAAAATTATGGTTTATTGGTGTAAAAAAGTGGATTTAAATATTTAAAAAATACTATAAAAAATATTATATAATTACATAGTATTTTTTAGTAAATATTTTTAATCGAATAATTTTTTTGGAAAATAGTTAAAACCCAATTCAATTATTTTCACAATAATTCTCTTGTTGAAAATTATTAGAGTTCAAATTTTTAATAGATCATTTTCTTGTGAATTGTAAATTCTTAAAAAATGTTTGCTTTGATACTCTGTTTGAAAGCAAGTCAATTCTAATGCAATAAAAGGAAGTAAAACACTTAGAGAAATAAACGTATACTTTTATTTACTGAAATTCAACAAACCTCAAATACAAGAATTTTATAATCTAAAATCAGTTTTGATTATTATTTTTTGATTAAAATTAAATAAAAAAAGGGGAATATTTTAATAACAAGTAAAAATGGATATGCCGATGCAATCTTATTTTTTGATATTTTCCCGAAACTATACAATATATTAATAGTAAAAATAAAAAATGTTTATAATATGAAATAAAAAGTGTTATACAAGAAAAGTCCGTTGAAAATGGATAATCAAAAATCCCGATAATTTGTATATAAACTAATAAACATAAAAAAGGAAAAATCGATTCGTAAACATTAAAAAAGACGAAGAATATTCTGTGGTAATGAAGAATATGAAGGGATGATATCCCGTTTTATCCCATTAAAAAGTTGCATACAATAACACTTAAAACATATAAAATCAGACGAAAAGTTTGTTTTTGATAATGTCTATAAAAAGGTGAAATAACAGCTCAAGTCATTCAATGATCGCACTTCTGGCGCTCCTCGTTGCTGCTCAAGCAATTGACACCAACGCTTTTAACAATCTGAGAATCTATCAGGTGATGGTCTCTTCATTCCAAGACGGTGACCCCAACAAGGGATATGGGACTGGCTATGGTCCATCAAGTCACAAAGGTGACCTCCGTGGTATCATCAATGCCCTTCAGTACATCAAGGACTTGGGAATGAATGCACTCTGGATGACACCAGTATTCAACTCAAATGGTGGCAGTCAGCTCGACTCGACTGGATACTTTGCTTACGACTACTTCAATGTCGATCCCAAATTTGGCACCAACGATGAGTTACATGAGCTCATCAACAAAGCACACGGTCTTGGGATCTACGTCATTCTTGATGGTGTTTTTGGACATCATAAGGGTGGCAATGTCGCGGCATCGCCAAGTGGAAAATACCCATCTGGTGGAAGTGACCCAGTCAGCTATCCAGGCTCACTTGACTTCTACAAGGAGGTAGCGACTTACTGGATCAACAACTACGAGATCGATGGGTGGAGACTTGACCAGGCTTACCAAGTATCAACACGCAACCAGGACAGAAACTACTGGAAGGACATCAGAGAGGCCATTGAGTCGACTTGTGACTCACGAAAAGGACAAGGAAAGACTTGGGGTACACTTGGATACATGGTCGGTGAAATATGGGACTCAGTGAGCAACATCAACAACTGGGGATATTATGCTTCAGGAGGATACGGACTCAGAAGTTGCTTCCACTTCCCAGGAAGATACAATTTGGTGCAGACGTTGGCGTGCGAAGAGTCAGGAAAGGGAGGTTATGATGCTTCCAACTTGAAAGGCATCTTCGATTGTGGCTACCCCGACTACGCTTATCCAAACCTTTTCATCACAAACCACGACTTACTCAGATTTGGCAATTTGATCAGAAAGAAGTATGGATATTCACAAAGTAACAATGACTACTGGGGCAGACACAAAGCTGCACTTGCTTTCCTTGCTGCATACAGTGGACCAATCACCGTGTACTATGGTGATGAAGTTGGAGACATCGTCGACTGTTATTACAACCCAGGTGACTGCGGTGCATACAACGACAACGCAGCAAGAAGTGATGGACACATCTCAGGCTTCAACTCACAACAACAAGACTTGCACGACTACGTTGCAAAGTTGATGAAAATCCGAGCAGAGAATTCAGCATTGTTCAAAGGCTCAAGACAGAACCAAAATGCGAGTGGTGCACTTTTCAAAGTCGACAAGGTTGACGGGTCGAACAAAGTACAGATTCTTATCAACACAAACAACAATGAATACGACACTCAATGTGGGTCTGGTGTTGATTTGATTACAGGCAATAGTTACTCTGGAACTTGCCATATGAAAGCTTTCTCAGCCATCTTCCTTAAGATGTAATTCACTTTAATTATTCAATTGAATGGTTTTAATTAATAAAAACAAACATAAATATCTTTCATTTTATATTAATAATAATCATTTACTTAATTTTTTATAATTCAAAGATTTTTAATAAAATTGTAAATGATATACAGTTATGATAAAAACCAGTGCAACTTGAACAAAAATGGGGTTGCTGAGTAAAATAATACTAAAAATAAAAAAATAACATTATTTTTGAAAATGTTTGAAAAAAGATTATAAAAAAAATCATTCAAAAATTTTATTTATTATAGTAGTATATAAATTATGTGGATTTAGAGGGCACTCCATTTTATCTATATTTTATAATACTTTAATTAAATCACGAGGGACGCGTTTTCCAAAACCTGAAGGGGCGAAGCCCCAACGCGAAGCGGCATCGAAAATGCAGTTTCCTTGAGCAAAGTATCGACATCTTTGATGTCTCTAGAATCTCACATTCGTTTCGAAGATGCAGTCTCCTTTAGGAACCTTTGGTCCGTTCGGTGTAAATTTATATATAGTAAATTTATATTAATGTAATTTTTTATCTTCCTTAAAATGACGAAACAAATTAATAAACTTGATTATAATAAAGATGTTGATGATTATGTTAAATATGATTTAGATAACAAATCCTTATTTGTCGATCTTGGATGTGAATATAAAATTTCAATTAGAAGAATGGAAAGATTTAAAGAATTATTGAATGATTATCTTAAAACTATACAAAGTAATGAAAATGTAATATGTAATTACCAAACTAATGAAGGTTGGAGTAAAACATATCCTTTAACAGATAAATATGCTTTGAACAAATTGATTAGCGTTCTAGAAACAAGAATATCAAATAGTGATGAAATAATTAAAGCTGTAAACGCAGATTATGATATCGCAGGTGCGGACTCCACATCCTTTGGATGTGTCGATATACCAGAACCTATAATTGTTATAAAAATAAAAGTATCTATTTATAAATATTAATTCTCAAATAATTTACTAACATCTAAATTATTAACAGTAATATAATGTTCTAATATCGGAAGCATCTTATTAATAATTCCATCTCTCATATTATTTTGATTGTTTTCTAATTCTTCTATTTTATTAAGTAATAATACTAATTGTTCTTGCTTTTCGCCCTCTATATTTTTGACTTTATTGACAAGATCATTTTTAGTAATTCTATGTTGTTTCTTAATTAATGTTTGTTTACCTTTAATTTTACAAAATACATATCCATTTAAATAAATAGTAGCATTTAAATCTTTTGTATTGATTGAGTTAACTTCTGGGTTATTATTAATATATCTATTTATTTCCTTGTTACATTGTTTTAACATATCTATTTTTTTAAAATGTATTTGTTTATTATCTTCTGTAAAGCGATAATATGTTTAGAAGTAATATCAGATAAAGTTTCAGTCTTTGGCATGAGTTTCTCTTCAGCCTTCAACATGACGCTTTGCTCAATTTCATTTGGAGAATAAGACATACCAAATAATGTTTTTGGTGTTGCATCTTCGATTCCACTTCGCGTTGGAGCTTTGCTCCCTCTACGTGTTGCGTCTCTTTCTTTAATAATTTCAGAAGTATCTATTTGTTTTAACGGGTCCGTCTTTGAAGTTTGATTTGTTATGTTAGAAGAAAACAAATCTTTGAAAAATGTTTTTAATGAATTTGATTTTGATTGAGAAGTATTATCTGTACTCATTTATATTAAGATAAAAATAAAAATATATTATTTATACATTACTCAATATATTATTAATAAAGTAATATAACAGTATTATTA